TTCTTCTTCTTCTTCTTCTTCTTCTTCTTCTTCTTCTTCTTCTTCTTCTTCTTCTTCTTCTTCTTCTTTTTTCTAAAGCTTTCTGGTGATCTGTTAAGTTGCTAATACGGGATCACTTCAATTTCTTTATGAAGGCATTTAGTGCTATGAACTTTCCTCTTAGCCCTGCTTTATGGTGTCCCATAAGTTTGGGTAAATTGTGCCATCATTTTCATTGAATTCTAGGAAGTCTTTAATTTGTTTATTTCTTCCCTCACCCAGTTGTATTTATTTAAAAATGATGCCATGCACACAGCAGATATCATATGAAAGAGATTTATTGGATAGAGGTAGAGAGAGATAGCAAGATAGAAAAGAGATAGGAGAGAGAGAGGGAGGGAGGGAGAGAGAGAGCAAGAGAGAGAAATGAGGTAGGGTTCCTTTTGTCTGGAGTTCCTGGTGGCAGAGACCAATGATGACATCACAGGTGCTCACCCCAGGGGCCCCTTGCAAGAGTCATTATATGTTGGGCTTACTCTTGCCTGAGGCCCAGGGGTCCCAGGCGGGGTCCTTCTAGTCTCTGGCTTTTTTCCCATACTGTGAGCCCATTCAGGCCTTCCTGGCACTGAACTGGTGGTCATCTCAAGCTATTTTTACTTCAGAAAATGTAAGGTTCCTAATCATTCAGATGTTCATAGGGGAGAACACTGAACATTGACATAGCCTCTCTCCTCTCTGCCACCTGCCGACGCTCATATGACACAGCAGCCACACCTGTAACACCTCAAGCGGCAGGTATTCATATTATCCCTCGGTTTGGTCTTTTCATAGCATCCCATATTTCCTGGATGTTTTGTGTCAGGAACGTTTTCAATTTAACATTTCTTTGACCAACGTTTTCAATTTAACATTTCTTTGACCAACATATCAACTTCTTCTATGCCTGAGATTCTCTCTTCCATCTGTTGATGATGCACCTGAAGAAGCACGAAGAACAGTGTCTTACCTGGGGTCCCTCGTGCCTGCGTGGTCTCCATTCATATGGCCTCCATTCCAAGGCCTCCATTCATATGGATTCCTTCCTTTCACTCTCTGCTCCAAACCCGGAAGATAGGCATTGGTATCTTCATTATATAGATCAGAAAACAGAATTATGGAGATATGCCTATCATAATCTTGAAGAAATGAAGTATATCCACTTCCTATGTCTTTTCTCTTTTTAACCCTATTGTCTAAATCAAAATAGTGGAATCTATTGTCTTGCTGAGGGCCAGTAAATATTTCTCTTATAATAGGGCAAGAATCTCAGAGGCAGCAACAGAGAACATGAATGACAGAGAAATAAAAATATGCTAGTAGAATGCCCACAAAGTTATTCACTTTAATGGGAGATTTTGGTATTTATTTGTGTTAATTTTAATTTAGTTTTTATTTATGAGAGTGTATTTTTCTCTGTGTGCATAAGCCACTTGGATACACATGTCCACAGAGGCCAGAGAAGAGTTGTATTACTGGGAGCTGGAGTTACAGGCAGTTGTGAGCTACCCAACATGGATGCTGGGAGTGGGTTTTGTAGAAGAGTAGCAAGTGCTTGTAATCACTGAGCCATTTCCCAGTGTATATCTTTCTTCTGTTATCGTCTTTAGTGAAGCTTTGTTCAGGCATTGCAGGAGTGTGCCATGCAAACTACCTGTCTTGTTTACCTAGAAGAGATTAAAAAAATGTTTAGAAAAAAAAACATGTCAAGGTCCCAGGTCAAAAGTTCAGATACATTCTTTTTTCCTCTCAAAATTCAAAATAATGAGTATTTTAGGTTTTGCCTAAATCATAATGTCTTTGTTACACCGTTCATTTTGGTTGTGACATGGAAGCAGTCACAGGCCACATTTATGTGTGGAAGTGTTCCAACATGAGTTCAATCAAAACTTGCTATCTTTTGTCATCTCTAGGCTTAGGTGGCATTATGAAGTTTAATGTGCAGTCAATTCAAGATCTGGGAACACAAATCCTCTGCTTATACTACTCGCACACAATGGGAGGTAGAGCATTTTGAAAAACAGTTTGACTTGAAAAAGATGAGTACTAGTTGGGGATTTGCAAATTTCTGAACATGTTTTCATATGTTTCAAAAAGTTTCATGTGAGCATAGTTTAAGAATTAGATGTATCTAGTTAAAATATTCATATCACACATACCTATATATGCATATGTGTGTGTGTGTGTGTGTGTGTGTGTGTGTGTGTATAGAGAGAGAGGGAGGAGGGGAGAATGGAGGAGAGAGAAAAAATACAAAAGATAAAGAGACTAAGAGAGAGTAAGAAAAAAGAGAGCAATACTGGCTCTTAGCCAACCTGAAGTCTTACTGTGGAAAGATGCAGACCTCAGCAATCATAACATCCAAGATCAAAGCTTTGGGAGTAAATTCCCTTCAGAAATGGCATTAAGAATGGCCATGCTCCATCTGCCTTGCCTTTCAGTGTGGCTTGCTGGACCAGTGCCACCTTACCTGAGAGGCCAGTCTAACTTTGTTCATCTATCTCTGCTTGATAAAGCCAGGTTCTACAAATCATATGGCCTCCCATTGACTTTCTGTCAGAGTAAGGTAACCAGCGTTCTTCTTTGAGCTCAGAGGCGTGATGCTGGCTTCTGCCCTGTTGCTGCAATTGGAACTTAGAGGTCAAAGGACATCATGTCATGTCTCAGAGGTTTCATGGTAAGAGGAAATAGACATTTATGAAATTCCTTCTCTGCTCAAGGCACTGACAGGCTTTTGAGATACCCAAAGGGATAGGTCACATCTGACACCCTCTGCTTTGATGGTATACATAGAGGACAGGATGTAAATTTAGAGTAAGAGCAGAGAGCACATCTGTGCTGTGGCATTGGGCTACAGGAAGCCCTGGTATACCAGGATCCCTTCTGAGCATCAGCAGTTGTCTGCACTTTGGCCTGTGTTATACTGGCTAAAACTCAAAAAGACAAGTACAGAGAACATATTTAATTGAACAAATTATGTCACTGACTTCTTCCCTGCCAGGTTGAATTTTTCTCAGTGACTTTTGTGGGTCCCATGTTCTCTCTCTCTCTCTCTCTCTCTTTAAATATATGGCAAGAGAGTCTCTTCATAGGAGGAGATGTGAGTCAACATGGCTCTCCTATTTTATCTTGAGAAAGACCATTCTTTCTTGACTAAGAAATAAATTTCCTGCAGTCTTCAGTAAGTCAAGTGGCTGTGGGGCACTTTCCTGGAGAGGCTGACACTTCCAGAATCTACTGATAAATCCCTCTCTTTGAAGATGGGGATCTCAACTATGTCTTTGAGGCTAATAGGAAATAATGCTACTTGGTTGCTGTGCTGGTTTGAGTAAGAATAGCCCCTACAGGCTCATATATTTGAATGCTTAGTCATTAGGGAATGGCATGACTTGAGGAGGATTAGTAGGTGTGGCCTTGTTAAAGAAAGTATGCCACAGGGGTTGAGCTTTAAGGTTATAAAAGCTCAAGGTGGGCCCAGTGCCTCTCTCTTTCTATGGATTCTCAGCTACTTCTATAGCACCATTTCTGCTTGCAAGCCCTATGTTCCCCACCATGATGACAAGGCAGTAAACCTCTAGAACAGAAAGCAATCCCCAATTAAATGCTTTCTTTTATGAGTTGTCATGGTCATGGTGTCTCCACAGCAAGAGAACTGTGATTAAGGCAGTTGTGTTTACAATTTTTTAGGAGGGGGAAATAATTAATTTGTGCATGCATTCAAATGTATGAATCAATCCAATACTGTTTGGACATTGAGCATAGGTATCTGGATATGGCCTTTGGACATCCCTGTTTTGCTTATTTATCTTGTTGCTGAGACCAGACACTCAACGTGAAGCAACACAAGAGAGGAAAGGTTGCTTTTTGGCTTATAGTTTGAAGGGCTATATGTTATTATTGCAAGAAAGACGTGGAGGCAGGTGAATGAGAGAGCTGGTCATATTGCATCCATAAACAGGTAGCAGAGAGAGATGGATGCTGGTGTTGAGCTTGCTATCTCCCTTTGTTTTTCCTCTGGGACCCCTGCCAATAGAGTGGTATAGTTCTCTTTCAGAGTAGGTTCTTATATATGAATTTTTTCTTCTCATATCCTCTTTGGATCTTGTTACTCTTTTGCCTTTTTTGCTCATTAATGAATTAAGTAGCTATTTTGAAATCTGTTGTGCTATATCAGAAAGAGCTACACTTTAAGGAAGGCTATCACTGGCACACTGGTTGATAGGTATTCTCTCTCTCTTTCTCTCTCTCTCAGCAGATTATATAGCAGGAAAAACACCAAGCTAATTGTCCAGAAGACCTAGGTCTAAAGTCCAGGTCTACTGGCCTTTGGTCTTCCTGGTTAAGTTTCTCATCCTTAATTGCTACAGCTGTGCAATAAACAAAATACTGCCCGTGTTGCCGGTAGCCGTGTAACCTTCTGATGGTGCTGTCCGGGCTGTCTTGCTGTTCTTCCCATCGGACACACATCCTCTCTCATCAGCAGCTGATTGTAGTTCCTCAATGCTCTGGTATGTGAAGGCTTTCCTGTTTTATTATAAATCATATTAAGTGATACTTCATGCTGAGCTCTGCAGGCTCTAAATAGATCGCCTCACGCAATCCTTACCCGACTCTCAGAGATAAGCCTTAGCATACCCTTCCTTGAGGTAAGAAGCCCCAAGGTGAGGCTGAGATAACCCACCTAGAGACCCCAGCTAAAGATTGCTGTTCCTCTCAGTGATACAAACAGGAGATAGAAACTGGTCAGGTGGATCAGGCCCCCAAAGCAGTGGTCCTGAGGATGTCCTTGCTGCAGACCAACAATGCCAGAAGGGGATTCTGGTTTTCATTTTTTTAATTTCCTAGATATATCTCTGCCTAAAATTATAAAGTGACTAAGTGACAGAAAATGAGAGGAGGCACCTAGATACCAAGTCAGGTCAGTTGAGCCAAGTGACCTGACTAGCTCATCTTTCTACCCATACCTCACCTCAGTTTATGCCATCTGTCCTTTAAAAAGCCCCAGACTAGCAGCTCAGTGGCACTCTATTTTCTGGGGACCCTCTCCATACAGGAGCTTTGCTCATTCTTCCCTCCTTTCCTCCTTCTCTCTCTTCTTCTTAGACTTTCATCTATGAGCCTATAGTAAATGCTCTAAACCTTACCCGCTGTAGCCCATGCTTTTCATTCTCTGAATTTGTAAGACAAGCACCTGAACCCACTGGTATGTGCTGGCTTTGGTGGCTATCAAGTGTCTGGGCTCCTAGCTCCCCAGGAATGGCTCTGTTGTTCCCTAAGGCACGCCAACATCCCCATTACCACCAGTGTCTGACAACATAACTGAGTTTATACTCTCATTTGCGGAGCCACTGGGATGCACAAACACCCATGTGAGCACCTTGAGGGCGTCAGGGTTAGTCATCTAGAACACCTGCACAGGAGGACGCCTCTTTTACATGTGTAACACAGGATTGCTTTTCACTTAGTGGCTGCCGTACACAAGACATACCCTCTGCTTCTCATCACCTGAAAGGCAGGTGGTGTAAACTCTGTACCATGGGTAACAAAGAAGTTCCTGGAGATGAAATAACTTCCCTCAAGTCACACAGCTAGTATTGATTCCATCTTCCGCTCACGCGTTCTGTCATTTGTAGCCCCCTATCTGGACGCAGAAAGACACGTAGCAGGCAGAGGCAGCAAGCATTCAGCACTGTACCAAGGTTGCAGACACTCACAATGAGCTGAGCACAGCATGGGTTGGTGACCAACTGCTGAGGTCAA